TCCTTCCTTCCTTCCTTCCTTCCTTCCTTCCTTCTTTCCTTTGTAAGCCTCAAGCCATATAAGACTTTTACAGTATAAGTTAACATGTGCATTTAAAATTGTATTTGGAACAGAACTGGTAATCTGTGCCTGTTTTACAATGTAAGTTTAATATTCCCCCAATGCCAAGGACCAGTTAAGAATGGGCCACCGTACCTGAATTAATTATAATTTCCAAATAGTTTTAGAAATAGTCCAGGCAAAGTATGTTGTAATAGTGTAATGGTGAAGCATGTTGCTACATCCTCTTGCAACAGATAAGGGTGCAGTTGGTATAACAAAGAAAACCTCACCAAGTCAAAAGGGGTTCCAGTCATTATCCAATCATCAGGGTAGAATATAAACAGCATATGATCTAATGTTGTAGATCGGGGTGTCACTTGATTTCATTGAAGGCCGCATCAGGATTGTGTTTGACCTTAGAGGGCCAGGGATGGTGCATGCCCAGGGGGCATGGCTGGGGTGGGCGTGGTTCATGGTAGGTGTGACACAGGACTCATGTTGCGGGGGGCATCTATGGTGGCCAAGTGCTAAGGCAGGACTTCCCTGAGACCCTCACTCAATCTCATTATACAGATAATCCTTGAGTTACGAATGTAATAGAGCCAATTACATTAATAACCCAAGGATTTGTTTGATTGAATCATGTTAAATGAACACAATCACTCCCTGCTTTCCTTAATACATTTATTAATCAAATGTGCAGGTCATTAAAGGCACATGAGGTATCTCAGAATGGGGAGGATCATGTGGGGCCTAGTGCTGGAGCAGGCATCCAAGGCCTCCCCCAATCCACTAAGATACCTCATGGTCCCCTGGGTCCCCACAATTGCTTCCCACTCCCCATCCTGTCCTGCCAGGTCCCCACAGACTGAGCCTGTTTTGCTAGCATACAGGATTCCACTTACTTCTCCCCACCCCATTTCCCATGAATTACTTACTTTTTGAAGATCTCCAGAGCTGCAGAAGAGGTTGACCCACTGGCAGAGAAGCCAAAGTGTTTTATTCAAATGATGGCAAAGCTGTAAGAAGGTGAAAGAATGGTTGCAAGAATCTAGTGAAAAGAAGGATTAGGAATGACATGATAGCAGTGTTCCAATATTGAGGGGATGCCATAAAGAAGACAAAAAACAATGGATGGAAACTAATCAAAAAGAGAAGCAATATTGAACTAAGGAGAAATTTACTAACAGTGAGAACAATTAATCAGTGGAAGTTGTAGTGCTCCATCACTGGATGCTTTTAAGAAGAAACTGGATAACCACTTGTCTAGAATGGTAGGGAGTTTCTTGCTAAAGCAATGGGTTGGATCTCTCCCAACACTGTTGACAACCTCACAAACTATTATTGCTTCTTAGCTTTAGACCAGGGGTCTCAAACTCGATCCCATTGTGGGCTGCATCAGGAGTTTGTATGTGCTCTTTGGGTGCCAGGGTGGGTGTGGTCTGGTCATCACGGCCGACTGGGTAGCATGACTGGGTCTGGGGGCGGCAGGGGCCAACTCTGTGGCCTATGGTGGGCTGGATCCAGCCCAGAGGCCACGTGTTTGACATGTCTCCTCTGGACCAGCTGGGCCAAGTAGACATATTCCGGGCCACAATATTCCCTACCTTTGTTCCTCAGTGGTCTTCCCTAATTCAGGGATGCTTCTGTAGTCACTTTATCATAAGCAAAACTTTAAGAGCTAAACATTCATTCTGTTTCACCAGCTATCCAAATTTAATACCAAACAAACTTCCAGCCAGCATATTAGCCCCATTTATGCATCCCTTCTCCCTATGAAAGCGTCTATGCAAGTGCAATTGCTTATCTCTTTAACTGAACACTTTTCTCAGTTCAAAGCAACACTTTTTCTACCTTTGTCAAAATATAAGAACGAAGCATATGTCTGGACACTCACAAGACAGAGTGTTCTATTTCTTCATTCTGTCACAAGTATTGAAACTCAGGTAGAGTTTGTTTCTAGATTTTTCCATATCTTAACTGGAAAATCATGTTCTTTAATTCTAATAATGAACTATTTACTGAGATGAATAAGAACAAATAATTACACTTCTTTTATTAACATCCGTAGAAGAAATTGACCTGGCCTTTCTCTTTAATGCTTACTTCCTCTGAGTTAGAAACATGGCCCAATTCTGTGCCCTAAGGATGATAAAAACATAAAATAATTTCCAGTCTAATGCAAGATAATCTGCAAGATAATCTATTGCCTTCAGAAGTGGTTATGTAAGCCACTAGATCCTGGATAAAATTCAGTGAGTGGCCTCCTCTCAGATAGATCATTGTTACAATTTCATATGAAACTTGATGTTAATTATGACTGCGTCCATTTTATACACACAAACACAAACATCATCTCAGATATTCAGGATATGCTGAATTATCTTTTCATTAGTCTTCTAACACAAACTATTCAGCATAACCATTCTTAAATTTAGGGTGAACACTTTGGACAAATTTACTTTTGCTTCCTGAAATGAACCAAAGGTTTAATCTGCTATTTTCTTGCTGTCCTCAGAAGCCACTGTCAGATGGAACAGATTCATCCATATGCAGCACTGTGGATTACAAACCACCTGATCCTTTGGAGGAGAAAGCAGAAGGTGAAGAAAATATGGAGAATGATGATCCAGAGGAATGCTTCACTGAAGGTATCGTGGTCAGAAAGAAAGCTCCACTCATCAACTTTGCAGATGACACCAAGTTGGAGGGGAATAGCTAACACTTTAGATATAGATTCAAGACTCAGAAGGACCATGAACCCTGGCCCCTATTCAACAAAATGCAATTGAGTTGTGACAAAAGTAAGGACCTACACTTAGGCAAGAAAAATCACAGATATACAATAGGGGGTTCTTAGCAATTGTGAGAGATGTTTATGTGTCCAGGTGGATCACCATTTATATGAGCCAGCAGTGTGCTGTAGCTGCCAAAAAAGCTAATGCAATTCTAGGTTGCATCAACTGAGTGATAATTTCAAGGCCACATGAAGTGATAGTCTGCTTTATACTGCACTGTTAAGTCCACACTGTGAATGCTGGTCACCATGATACAAAAAGATATTGAGATTCTAGAAAGAATATAGAGAAAAGCAACAAAGATAATAAGTGATTTGGAGGCTAAATCATATGATGAATGATTGAAGGAACTAGTATGTAATTTAATGAAGAGAGGGACTGGGGATGATATGATAGCAATCTTCCAATACTTGAGAAGCTGCAACAGAGAAGAGAAAGAGTGAACATTTTCTTCAAAATATAAGGGCAGGACAAGAAACAATGGATGGAAGATTATCAGAGATCCAACCTAGAAGGAAGGAGAAATTTACTGAAAGTGAGAACAATTAATCATTGGAATACCTTACTTCTGGAAGTTGTGGGTGCTCTATCACTGGAGCTTTTCAAGAAGAGACTAGATAGCCATTTGTCTGAACGGTATAGGATCTATTAATCTACTGATAGGAATGGCACTACTCATTTCAGAAAGGTTAGCGTAGCTGAGTGAATGTGGCCAGGTTGACATGGAGGATTAGGTGTAGTCAGATCAAGGTGGCTGACTTGGGGCAACTGAATTGGGGCAGTTGGATGGGCAGGACAAAGTGGATGCAACCATGTGGGATGGCAGGGTGAGTAGTGTCAGGTGGGCATGTCCAAGTGGTCACAGAACAAGTCATCTTGGGAAACTGGATGTGGAGCCAACATGGCGCTCCACAAAACATGTGCTGGCAAATGGAAAGCAGGGAAGCACCAAAAATTTGAAAGGAAAGGGTGGATTTGTTCTCACCTCCCATTTGCAGGAACATTCCAGTTTTAAGACATCCCACGAAAATAAGACCAGGTTTTATATCTATATCTATCTATATAATATCAATGGTCTTATTTTCGGGAATGTCTCTGCAAATGGTGGGGGGAAGAATAAATCCACCCCATATATATATAGGAAACCTAGTAAATAATTAACAATGAAATCCTACAACATAAAATGTAGCAAACAAGCAGCATTAAAAGGGCTAGCCAACTTCACGTAAGGCGGGTTTATTTATCTATATTTGTTAATAACAATGGTTAAACATTCAGCATCCAGTCACTGGGGAGGCAAAGTGGGGTGACCTTCTCATAGATATCAAGTTCTCTATCAATCAATCAGAATACAACTTGAAGGGACCTCGGGGGTCTTCTGGTCCAACCCCTGCTCCTGTGCCATTTCGGACAAGTGACTACCCCGTCTTCTTAGAAACAGAATGCAGGATAAGACAAGGCTTGGGTTATCACTGTGGTTTTTCATATTTTTATGATTTATGTTCCTATGCTACTCTTACTTGTCATCTTGGCAGGATGGTCAGGTAAGGATCTCTTGCTTGATAAGTCCAAAGAAATGGTGTGCATATCTATAAATAAAAGGGATATTTGCCTAGTGTATGTTCAGGTAGACCAGGGGTGTCAAACTAGAGGCCTGTGGGCCAGATGCATCACGCGCAGGCCATGCCCACTTCAGCTTTGCCAACAGAAAAAAAACAGTGTGTGATATGTCATGTGATGGCAATGTGACGAATTTCACACCAGTGAGATAGACCAACAAATCAGGAAACCAGGATTCTACATTTAGGTTTTTTTAAATCACAGTTTGCCTTAACTGTGGGAAGTACAGATAAAGAGGACATAGATCTATCAAGTCAGGAAACCAAAGAAAACCAAGTGGTACATCTCCTATGCACAGGGGTGGGCTTCAAAAATTTTAGCAACTGGTTCTCTGCTTGGTTTCTGGGTGGGTGTGGCCAAGGTGGGCATGGCCTAGTCAGCCTTCTGCACCACGGCAGGGGATGGTGGTACATTTTTGCCTCTCCGGGCTCTGGAGGCTTTCCTCGAGCCCCCGGGAGGGTGAAAACGGCCACAGACCCCGACTAACATGAACAGAGGGTTGAACAGAGGAGCTCTGAGGTCATGTCCATCCCTATTATTCCTATTTATTTATTTAAAATTTGTTTGTCACCCATCTTGTAGCAAGGTGACTCTTCTCTGATTTTCAAGTATTCTCTTCCAGCACATAAGAAAAAGAGAGCTCCAACATGTACATAATGCTAAACATAATTTTATATAATTTAATTTATATATAAATATATAATTAAGACACAATCAGTTATTTATTAAGGATAATTATCATTATCCTCATCTTTTCAACTATCTTCTCCTATTGGTACTTTAGGATTATATTACTTTTTTTTTATATGCTTCTGCACTGGAGACAAATTCCTCGTGTGTCGCACTTGGCAATAAAGTATTCTACCCTATCCTACCCTACTATATTATTTCCTTTGTGCTATGATAAGGGGGTCCCAGATTGTGTGGTCAGCATTAAGAGCATATGAGGAAATAACAAAATGTCTGTGTAATTTGCAGTGAATGAACATTTCAAGTTCATAGCATAGTTTTAAAACAAGGTAGAGCAGCTACAGAGTTAACTGACTAACTCTTTCTTCCTCTGCAGCCTGTATTCAAAGGTGTCCTTGCCTTTATGTTGATATCAAAACAGAAAAGGGAGCAAAGTGGTGGAATCTTCGGAAAACACGTTTCAAAATTGTGGAACACAATTGGTTTGAGACTTTCATTATCTTCATGATTCTCCTCAGCAGTGGTGCCCTGGTGAGTGTTTCTCTTTTGCAGTACATTTTCCCCTACAATAATACAAGTTAGAATGAGGTTGATCTTAAATTGCTCTTGTAATATGCTTCTAAGAATATATGCTAATCTTCCTAGTTTGCTAGATTTCTTAGGTACCATTATGTATTCAGTTTGAGGAATAATAACTCAAGTCAGTTGGATTCAGCAGATTATGTTTATGATCATATTGGTGATCCAGTCTCTTCCAGAAAGGCAGTTTCAGTGCAGTCTAGTCACTGCTCTCTCAACTCAAGCTACAAATAGAGTTAAGGTTGATTTCTCAGTTATTTATATTGGCCAGTCCCACTCTGGGTTTGGTGCTTCCCCCAGATAGGTCCAGTGCCTCTATGTTCCCAGAATAAATAAACTATTTATTCTAGCGAAGTGCCATCACTTAAAATAGCTTACAGGAATTAAAATAGCTATACAATGATGCAGTGCATGAGAACAAGAGCCGATTACTCTCTATGTTACACTTGAAGAGAGGGAGAGTGTTCTGGACCTTACAACCATTAGCTGATTATAAAGCAGGCAGAGAACTCCACAAAGCATCCATACAAAGTCTTTTTATTGTCTCATCTGGCATCCTCAAGATAACTCATGGTTATGTCAAGATTCATCTCAATGTCCAACTCTTTGCATAGCTGACTTTCTGGTGTAAAAGGATGCCTGATGAACCAATAAAAGACTTTGTATGGATGCTTTGTGGAGTTATCTGTCTGCTTTATAATCAGCTAATGGTTGTAAGGTCCAGAACACTAAAAGGATAGTTCTCTTTTCATTCCGATAATGGTGGAGCAAGGGGGGTGAGGCAGCGGCATGCTGCTGGGGTCCAGGCAAGAATGAAGGAACCTCCCCCAACCCACCAAGGGTCAATTCAGTGACCAATCAGGATTACAGATGTGACCACATGACATGGACTACATTTCCCAGGATGCCTTAACTACATTTACCATGATGAATTCCCTTAAGGGGACAGCTCTCAATTCCTAACTAACTATCTCAATTCCCATTACCTATAAACTGTCTGGACAGCACAATGTACATAAAAAAACTCAGGGCAATGATACGATTAAAATATTATCTAGATCAAAATTTAGTGTTAAGCTTTTAATACTGATGTTTTCTGCTGAAACCTTGAAATCCCACCACCAGTAATCTAAATAATGATGTAGGCAAGTGAACATAACATTGTGGAACAACAAGTCTCAAAGCACATACTTAGTAGACATAACTGAATGTATCCCCATAGTCTTCCTTCTGTCATCTCAGGTCCATGTTGGGTTTCTACTCATTCACTTTCTAAACATTCATTGCAAACTTAAGTATTAAACTTAAAAAATGGGATTCCCAGGTATGTTCTACATATTTACACACCAATCTTTACAATGGCCAAATCCTTGTGTATATTTATTACAACTCCTGTTCATTAATACAAAGTTATGCCCAGAAGAGTAAAGGCCAGTCATGCTGTAGCTGCTTTTGCTACTTTTATCTATTGTCAAGAGGTCTCATACACTGCTCTGCCTTAATTCCCCTTTCAGGCTTTTGAAGATATCTACATAGAACGCAGACATACTATTCGCACCATCTTGGAGTATGCTGATAAGGTCTTCACATATGTTTATGTTATTGAGATGCTGCTCAAATGGGTAGCCTATGGGTTCAAGGTCTACTTCACCAATGCTTGGTGCTGGCTGGACTTCCTCATTGTTGATGTAAGTTGCAGCTTTCTGGAAGTAAGCAGTCCCGAGAAAGATTCCCCAAGATTCCTTTGGTCTTGCATTAAATTTGATTAATCATGTGATGATTTTGTTAGCTTCCGTTTCAAATTTTAGCCCTCAAAATATGAGAAACCAGTTTCCTTCTGTTAAATATATAACTTGACATGAATTCAGGAACCAGATTCTTTCCCCATAGCCAAATTAAAATGCCATTGACTCACCATTGGCAGAAAACTACCTTGTAATTTGATGTTTCTATTGATGATCCGTATACTCCCTCAGTTGAATCTGTTCTGAACAGCTGCTGAATGCTGTTGTTTTGTTTATGGTTTTCAGCATATCAACAGCCAATCACTTATTTAATTCTACCGGCTTTGCCATCTTCTTTAGGATCTTATCAGCTGGTAGGAAATCTTCCACTAATCATTGGACTTCAGCAGAGATGGCCTGGGTTTTATTGCAAAACCCCATTTGGTGGAACAGAATAACCAATAGAATGCTAAAAATATATAGCTTTTTTGTTCTTTCACAGAACTGAAAGACTGGTTCAATACCGTTTTCCCCCCAGCTATTAAGGGAGACAACAGAAGAATTGCAGACATAGCTAAGCTGGAAGGGAGGCGATGTGTATGGATGAATCTGAACCAGCTTCTAAGCATTCTTTTGAAAGAATCTACTCCTGATTACTGATTCTCCATCCATCCGTGTTAATGGGTGGCAAACTGTACATAGTCTTGTAACACTTGATGTTGTCTGCTTAAAGCAATGCAATATTTTAACACTGGTACAGCTAAAGATAATTGTTTCTGTTATGAGCTGGGCACAAGATAAAGGCAACATAATGGGAAAATGGCAGAAAACATATATATTGTCAGGACATGTTTGTATCATGGTTATATTAAAGCAGCATACAGCTCAGGGGCTTCAAGAAATCTGACCAGATGCTCCTATGTGCAAGATAAGGAACTATATTCCTTCTTCTGTGATTCTATCATTTGTTACTTGTTCTGTATTAACATTCTTGAAGACTCGCATTCTGATTGGTCCCCCCCGGACCGCAACCCGATTGGTCCATTGAATGACTGTGATTGGAGCGCTAAGAATCTACCGCGATTGGCCGAGCCGATCGCGGGAGATTCAAAGCGCTGCCATTGGCCGCCGAGCCGCCGGCCGGCTGTATAAAGCCAAGCGGCTCGCACACTTTAACTGTCCTTGTTCAGATGCTAAAATAAAGAGCTGATTGTTCACTTTCGCGTCTCGCCTCTTATGTGACCCGATCCACCGATCTAACACTGGCGACGAAGGTGGGATCGTGAGGCGAGGACCAACTAGCATGTGGCAAACGGTGATCAGCGCCCTGCAAGATGGCCAGCACCCTGCGGCCCGCTCCGTTCGACCCAGCAACCAAAGACTGGGAGTCCTACATCGACCACTTCCAGATGTTTCTAGAATGCAGCAACCTCAAGGACGCCAACGGCCAGAGGAAACGGGCAGTATTCCTAACACACTGCAGGCCCGCGGTCTTCAAAATGGCCAAGGCACTGGCGAAACCCACCGACGTCAAGGAGATGGACTGGGCTGACCTCGAGCCCATCTTGCGCCGCCATTACGCCCCTACCGTGCCCATCCTCATTCGTAGGCACGACTTCTATCGCCGAGATCAGCGCGACGACGAGACCTTCGGCGACTTCGTGGCCCAGCTGCGGAACCTGGGAGTCCCCTGCGAATTCCCCGACCTGGACCAGGCGCTTCGGGACCGAGTCGTCCTCGGACTCCGAGACCCTGTGCTGCAGAGCCGGCTGATGGCCAGAGGCAACATCTCCCTCGCCGACGCCCTCGCCGAGGCTACCGCCGCCAAGGCCACCCGCCAGTCAGCAGCCCGGATGAGACAAGCCAACGCGACCGAACGGCCACCGACCAACGAAGCGACCCCAGCCACTGCGAAGCCCGGGGAACCCAGCCGTCGAGAAATGACCACGCATCATGGTGACTTCGAACCCCAATCCGACACCGAGGACGAAGACGAGGAAATCCATCGGCTGCAGACCGAGCGCGACCGCCGGGATCGCAGGGGACGTAAGTCGAGTTTCCATTGCGCCGGTTGCGGCGGCGATCATCCCCGCTCCGAATGCTGTTTTCTCGACGTCATCTGCAGGCACTGCGAGAAGCGGGGGCACATCGCCAAGGTGTGCCGGAACAAAAAGAGCTACAGCCCGCAGCGACGAGGAAACAGCCCACAACGATGAGACGGCACCCCCCCAGGCACCGAGACCCACCGACTTAGAGCTGGTGGAGCCGCGACAGCCGCAGCAGACGACTCAGCGAAGCACAGCGGTGCGAGGAAACTCACCAGACGGTCGTCATCGGCCATTCATCAACCATGGACGGCCGAAAGGTACACGTGGCCCTGTGCATTGAGGACCAGCCCTGCGAGATGGAAGTGGACTCCGGGTCCTACCTCTCAATGGTTTCTTGGCGCACAATCAAGCGCCTAGTCCCTACCATCCGCCGCAACGAACTAGACGACCAGAAGCTAATCCTGAAAGACTATCAGGGAAACCGCATCCCTGTGGCCGGCATCGGGCACTTTAAGGTCACGTTCAAGGACCACACCGACATCTTTCCACTCACAATCGTGGACCGGGACCGCCCCAGCTTGCTCGGCCTGCAATGGTTCGCCCCGCTGGGCATCGAGGTGACGGGCATTCATCACACAGACGAGGCCGACTGGGAAGCGACTCTCGTAAAAGAATTCCAGGAGGTCTTCGACAACTCACTAGGCAAGTACCAAGGGCCCCCTATATCCTTCAACCTTAACCCTAACATCGCTCCAATCCGCCTCAAACCCCGGCGAGTGCCTTTTGCGCTCAAGCCGAAAATCGACGAGCAACTAGACAAGCTCGTCGCGCAAGGGGTACTAGAGCCCATCGACCATGCCCATTGGGAAACGCCCATAGTCACCCCCATCAAACCCGATGGCTCCATAAGAATTTGCGGGGACTACAAGGCCACCCTCAATCACGTGCTGCAGCTAAGTGCCTACCCAGTCCCATTAGTACAGCACCTTTTGCACTCACTGGGGGGAGGCCGAGTCTTCGCAAAACTCGACTTGGCACAAGCGTATCAGCAATTGCCGGTCGATGCGGAGACAGCCGAAGCACAAACGATTGTTACACACCGGGGGGCTTTTCGGTGCAACCGACTCCAATTTGGAGTCAGCGTCGCCCCAGGAGTCTTCCAAAGTCTCATGGAAAGGCTCCTCCAGGGAATAAAAGGGGTGGTTCCCTACTTCGATGATGTGCTGATCGCAGCCGCCAACAGAGAACAATTGGAGACCCGTCTAAGGGCGGTGCTTAACAAATTCAAAGACGCCGGCCTTAAAGTCAAAAGAAACAAATGCCAACTCCACACCGAGAGGGTCGAGTTCCTGGGGTACCTCCTGGACCGGCACGGAATACACCCAACCAGGAAGAAACTCAGAGCCATCAAGGAAGCCCCCACACCAACAAACAAGGCGGAACTACAGGCATTTTTGGGACTGCTTAACTTTTACAATGTTTTCCTACCCCAAAAAGCGACCGTGGCGGAACCCCTACACCGGTTACTAGATAAAGCGGCCATCTGGACCTGGGGGAAGCGGGAGGAGACTGCGTTCCAACGAACAAAAAACCTGCTGACATCGGACGCAGTCCTGATCCAGTATAGCGAGACCCTCCTGCTCACGGTAACGTGCGACGCATCACCTTTCGGCATTGGAGCAGTCCTCAGCCACACCCTACCTGACGGGAAGGAAGCACCCATCGCCTTTTTCTCCCGAACGCTGGCCAAGCCAGAAAGAAATTACAGTCAACTGGACAAAGAAGCCCTCGCCATCTTCGCCGGGGCGAAAAGGTTCCACGAGTACCTTTACGGTAGGAACTTTTCAATCATAACAGACCACAAGCCCCTGCTCGGGATACTCGCAGGGAACAAGGCCACCCCGAACATCCTGTCACCCCGGATGACGCGGTGGTCCGAGTTCCTTGCCGCATACTCATACGAACTGTCACACCGGCCCGGCAAAAACATTCCGCACGCTGATGCACTAAGCCGGTCACCACTACCCGACCTAGACGACGACCCAGTGCCCACAACGACGACCCTGCAAATCGAGACCCTACCCAGCCCACTCTTAACCGCGCCAGACATTGCCCATGAAACAAATAAAGACAAACGGCTGGTGCGGGTATTGAGCTGGGTAGAGCGGGGGTGGCCAGAAAATGATGGCAGCGAGCAGTTCAAAGCCTTCCGAAACCGCCAAACTGAGCTATTCTCACAAAGGGGGTGCATACTCTGGGGCGACCGGGTAGTCATACCAGAAGCGCTGCAAAACAGAGTGTTGGCAATGTTGCATGAGGGACACCCGGGGATCGTCAAGATGAAAGCCCTGGCCAGAAGCTACGCTTGGTGGCCAGGGATGGACAAACAAATCGAGACATGGGTCGCCGGATGCAGCAGGTGCCAAGAGTCGAGAGCCAACCCCCCCGCCGCCCTGGTCCTGGAATGGGAAACCCCGAGAGGACCATGGTCGCGAATACACATAGACTTCACCAGGCCAACCAAGGGGCATACATTCCTCATCACCGTAGATGCTTACTCCAACTGGCTGGAGGTAAGCACTATGAGGGCAACAACAACAGAAGCGGTCATCGACAAGCTCAACAAACTCTTTGCAACGCACGGGCTACCGGATGTCATAGTGTCGGACAACGGGCCACAGTTCACGGCACTGGCATTTGAGAAATACCTGGCTGAACGAGGCATGCGACACGCCTTGACCTCGACGGCTCACCCAGCAGCGAATGGTAGGGCAGAACGGATGGTCCAATACACAAAAAAAGCCATCCAAAAAATCGAAACCAGCGACATCCAGGAAAAAATAAACAAACTACTCTTCATACAGCACATCACGCCGAGCTTGACCATGAACAAGAGCCCAGCGGAGTTACTAATGG